AACGAGTATACTAGATCTGTTTATATCATAGAATATGATAAGAGATAAGAATTAGACTATAAAAGGAGAGTTTATTACTTTAAAGCACTTTCAGATAAGAAAGGAAGAGAGCGAAAGACCTGAAGGTGTCTATCTCTCTTTTGGGTTGATAGCCACTTTCAAAACATTCGCAAAATAGTGCGAGCTCAAGTGGCTCTAATTTGTCCGTGTATATTTTAAACTAGTAGTTGTTAGACTTTCAAATAAAGCATCTTTATTGTATTCTGTCTCGCCAGCCTCGGAACCCGCAATTTCGGGCCTGGAAGTGACGAGCTTCGCTTTCTGCAAATAGTTTTGAAATTGCAAGTTCGGCGAGTTGCAAAACTGGCGTGCAACACTTACTAACAATAATACCAAACTAATACTAATATGACGCCATCTTATTTCATCTTAACCAATACATACTCAATAAATGGCACCACTACTTATTTCAAAGAATCTCTTTACTAGAGTATGTATTAGTTAAGGATTGAGTTAAGTATTGAGTTAAGTATTGAGTACTACAACCATCTCCATACCATTTAGACCTGCCAAGTCTTCCACTCTAAATACCATAATACCAATACAATACATACTCAAACCAACAAAATACTAACTCAAACCAACTCACACCAACTCAATAATATCTTAACAACAATTTATCTACTAAACTAAACTAAACCAAATAAACCTAAATACTAACCCAGTATAAGCTTTACTACGTTTTAAATCTCACCTCCACCTAACCCACCTCAACCTCAACCTCAACCTTAACTCCACCTCAACCCTAACTTCTTTTAGAGACAAAAGCATCCACGGGGTTGTTCTACTTCAATGCTAAAGACGGGAATCTTCTGTTCTGGTACAGCCGAGTTCTCAACTGCTTCTACAATGGCTTGGGCAAAGGCTTCAATCCCATCTTGAGTCAAAGAAGATGTCTCTATGTACTTAGCCCCAAATACTTTAGCTTTCTCTTGGGCTTCCTCTAAACTAACCGGTCGTTCAGCCACTGGTATTTGCTCAGCCAAGTCTTTCTTATTCCCAACTAGTAAAATACGCAACTGGCCATCATTGTTCTTCATAACAAAGTCTTTAATCCAAACATCAACCCTATCAAAAGTCTCTCGTTTAGTCAAATCAAACAGAACTACAGCCATAAACGAATCACGAGTATAATTAGGAATTAAAGATCTAAACCGTTCTTGACCAGCTGTATCCCAAAGTTGTAAATTAACCGGTTTTCCGCCTATCTCTGTCTTCTGAGCAAAGAAATCTACGCCTATTGTAGGATGATAATCACGTGTTTCAGTCGAAAAAACATACTTAGTAATCATAGTTGTTTTACCAACTGCTGTTTCACCTAAAAATACTATCTTGTACTTGGGAAGAACTTCTTGGTGTGTTTGTTTGGCCATGGCGTTTAGCAGATTTTTTCATTAAAGCCCCAGATGGACGCATTACTACGTGGTTTAAAGCAAATGGGCACCGGTTTACGCTTTACTATTGGTCAGGAACTTCTCAGTACTTCTCTCTATATTGCATATAAAGGGAGATATAAAGAACATAAAGTAACAATATTTAAGTATAAGGGTAAATGGACTGAAGAGGCTTCATTAGCCTTTCCTCTACTCAAGAATATTACAGATCCAATGCTTCCGAAGGTTTTTATCTCACAGTTAACAAGTTCAGCTTTTTTTGTAGTAACGGAAAGATTAGAGAGTTTTTCTAATTCCTTTCCTATCTTTCAAGGGTTTACTCGTAAGTGTTTAGCTGATTTGAATAAAAGACTGGGTAAAGCACATGGGATTAGTATTGGATTGAGTAGTGGGGTTAGTGATTGGTACTTTACTATGGCTGGTCGGCCGGTTATTGCTGGGACTCTGCCGGTTTTCATAGGTAAAGAGAGTAATCAGATGGATGTAGATAGGGTAGATAGGGTAGATAGGGTAGATGATGTAGGTGTGGGTAGTAGTAAAGCAAGTAGTAGTAAAGCAAGTAGTGGTAAAGCAGGTAGTGGTAAAGCAAGTGGTAGTGGTGATGGGGGAGTGGGTTGGGAGACGGTTGAAAGTAATGAACGGGTGGGGGAGATAGTGGCCTTGGATGAGGGACTGAACTATTATCGGGGGTACTCGGTGGCGGAACAGGGACGTATTCATGATTTGATTAGAGTGGTGGCTGATGATTTGCCGCCTGAGTATAGTACGTTTGTGGCTAATGTTCTCTTGGAATATATAAAGGGGGCGGAAGGTGAAGCTGGGTTGGCGGCGGCTCGGGCTTTGTTATTGTTGAATCCAGTTGTACCGGGGCCGGCTATGTTATTTGCTATTTCAACTCCGGGAGTGAGAGTGATTGCTTTGCGGGGGTTGAAGGAAATGCCGGAAGCTGTTTCTTATGTGTTTAGTGAGTTTTGTGATGGGTTCTTGTTGAGTGATAGTAATGTGCGGATGGAGACTATTAGTGCGGTGCCTGAGATTATTAGTGGGTTGAATGTGAAGCAGCGGGAGAAGGTTTTGGTAGGGCTTGGGGCTTTGACTAAGAAAGGAAGGTCGATGGAACGAGTGGCGGCGGCTGATGTGGTTTTGGATGGATTTGTGGAGTTTTTGGAATGTGCGACTACTCTTTATGGGTGTCTGCTATGTATGATGCAGAGTAGTGAAGTGGGGCCTAAACGGACGGGAATTAGGTTGGCTAGTAGATTATTAGAAATGCTTGATCCACGGGCGATGGTGATGGAAGTAATTCCAGTTGTGGCGGCTCAGTGTCTAGTGGCGGAAGTGGCTGGTGATGCAGCGGAAGTATTGGTGGCTTTGGCTACACGGACTCGTCGGGAGGCTGGTCGAATTAAGGCGGACTGGCGTGTCCCAGGTATTGGTGTGCTCGGTCGAGCGGCACCTATTAAGGCGGATCCGAAACTGGTTGCCCAACAGAAGAAGCCTGGGGATAAGAAAGCGGGCATCAAAACCACTCCTAAGAAGAAAGCTGAGAAGAAAGCCGAGAAGAAGAGCGAAAAGCCAGGCTGGGATAATCATGAGTGGTAAGATGTTAAGTTGAGTTATAGATAGATTTTGATATCGATTGATATCGATTGATCTATATTGTTGTATACCAATAAATGAATGCAATTAGTTAGGTTAAGATTAGGTTAGTATGAGTTAATATTGGAGTAGGATGGGGTAGGATGGGTTGGTATGAGTTGGTATCGAGTTAGTTGACTTAAATAATCTGATTTACTGATCTTTATTGGGTTAGTATTGGGTTTAATATTATCCAAATTGAAATAGTTTTGGATTTGGATTAGATAGTGGTTAGTATTGAGTTGAGTTGAGTTAAGTTGGGTTAAGTTAGGTTGGGTTAAGTTGGGTTGAGTTAAGTTGGGAGAGGATTAGGAATGGTTTAGGAGTGGAGAAGTCTTTTGAGGAGAAGAAGATGGACAGTAGGAATGTGCGGGTTTTTAAGGGCTCTTTCTTCCTGGCGAATAAGTCGCTTCTGTTCTTTGGTGTAAGTGAGTGTGTCAAACATAAAGAGAATGTTGGGAATGATTGGGTCGCCAGGGTACTCTTTTTCACGGAAGAGACTTTCACGTAGGGATTGGAATGGAGTTTGGTAATCAATAGGGTGGGTTTTACAGAGCATAAACCGAAGAAGAACTTCCTTATCGCAAATAATGGCTTTGGTGTAAACAGTAACAAAGGAGGAAAACAAGGGATTGCCACAGACATCACAGGCTCTGGCGTTCAAAATCATCTTCATGATTTCCTTAGGAGTGTTCTTGCGCAGGAGACGGGTCTTAACAATGATCTTCTGGACGGCCTTTTCATAAAGAGAAACGGGCACTAAGCGGCGAATGATTAGTGAGTCCTGAATGTACTGTAGAGAGTGGTGCTTGGCCTGGCACTGGGCAGCTACTTTATGTAGAGACTCAGGTTGTGGGAAGAAGAGATCCGAGAGAAAGACTAAACGAAGCAACTCCGGCGGGAAGTAGAAGATAAAAGTACGAAGTACAGAAATACTGCGTAAAGTGCTAATGTAAGGTATTGTCACCGGCAGTTCTTTCATGGGATTGCCCGATAAGTCGATTGTTTCCAAGGACTTAAGCAGCCGCATTGAATTAGGCAGTGTAGTTAGTAAATTATCCGAAAGATTGACTTCTTTCAAGTTTTCAAGTTTGTAGATAGTCTCAGGAAGTCTTTCAATCCGATTACGAGCTACAAAGAGTACTGCCAGCTCTGAAAGCTCGCCAATCTCATCGGGCAGTTCGCGTAAGCGATTACAACAAACTTGAAGAATCTTTAGACCCTGGAAGTGCCGAATGTCAGGATCAAGTTGAAAGAGATAGTAGCGACACAAGTACAGATGAATATCATTCGGGCGCTGAATAACATAGACATCCTCTGTTTCTTTACTTGAATGGTCTTCATTAGTTTTAGAAGGCGAGTATGGGGTTGTATATGACATCAAAGACATGACCGGCGACTGCTCTTCACTACTAAGAGGCTGCTTGAACTTCTGTCCTATCTTAGTTCGGAGCCCTTTTTTACTTAATACTATTCCCATGCGAGCCCCTAGACTAGTAGGACTTATTTTGAATGGGAAAGATACCGATTGGACCATTCAAATACCCACCCATTTGTTAGTTTTTTTATGGGCATAGAATCTCTGGGTCTTGGCGAACGTATTAATGATAAAGATAGCCGCAATCTAAGTCGGGAAATAGGTGAAATCTTAGATCTAAGGTCATTCCAAGACTTTCCCGGTGCTCAGCCAGTAACAATGTGTCGGCAAGATATCGAAGATCTAAAAAAGCGAGAATACTATGTTTGTGAAAAGAGTGATGGCGTCCGAGCTCTACTTCTTTGTAAGACTGTTAAGAACAAAGGATATGCTTTTGCTATGGATCGTAAATGCACGTTTATTAAACTACCCAGTCGGTTTATGCCGGCCGAGCTTATGCTGTTTGATGGAGAGATCATTCAGCACTCAAAAGATACCTTTACCTTTATGATTTTTGATATGATTATTTATAATGGCAAATCAATTGCAAATCAAAATTTATTGTTAAGACTTAATGCGGCCAATCGCTATCTATACGATAGTCATAACTGGCACAAGATGACTAACATACCTGAAGATAAGCGGTTTACTATGCAGCTAAAGCGAATGCATAAGAGTTATGGTTTGGCCGAGGTGTACAGAAAGATTATTCCACAGTTAACGCATGAGAATGACGGTTTGATTTTTACTTGTGTTAATCATGCCTATGTGCCTGGAGCATGTCGGGCCTATCTGAAATGGAAACCAGCCCATTTGAACTCAGTTGATTTTCGGATGAAAAGGTCCAAAGAGATTGTCGGTCTTTATGATCTTTATACTTCCTATGGGAACAATAAAGAAGTTCTCTTTGCTACTTACTGGATTGATGAGATTGTCAAGGACATTGATCTGAATGTGCAAGCCCGGGATGGGAAGCCGCAAGAAGTTTACTATAAAGAACCCATTGATTATAACCAGCTGGATGGGTTAGTGGGTGAGTTTTCTTATAAACCCGATGAGTATACTGTGAATACTGAAACTTTTGACTTGGAACCAGGTCGATGGTCATTACTACGGATTCGGGAGGATAAAAACTTCCCTAATGGGTACAAAACAGTTGTTGGAGTTGTTTTCTCAATCAATGAGAGTTTGGAGTATCCTGAGCTGGAAAGAAGTATTCCGGAGATTCGGGCTCAATGGAAGGCTCGTGAGGAGGTTAAAAGAAAAGCGGTAGAACCATCAGCACCAGTAAATGGACAAGAAGTCGATTCTACCCCGGCCAAACGACCAGCCCATTAGGTTAGGTTAGTATTGGGTTGGGTTGTGTTGAGTTAAGGTGGGTTGTGTTTGGTTTATTGATTAAAGGACAAAATTAGGTTAGTAGTAAGTTATTAGTAGGTTATTAGTAAGGTTATTAGTAGGTTATATTGTTATCTAATCAAAGCCAAGTTGGTTATCTCGTCTAGTAATGTAATACCATTTCAATTTATTGATAATCAGGCCAATTAATGTTATTTAGATAGTGTTCTAATTCAATCCCAATCTCAAACTAACACAAGCTCATTTAACTCAATACCAACTCAATACCAACACAACTTAGCTTAACTTAACTCAACTCAACCTAATCTAATTTGTTGTTTTTGAAATTTCAAAAAGGACTTACAACTTAGCTAGTTCTTTCTTCCTTATGTTTAGAGAGATAACGTACAGAAGAGTCATTATGGCGAAGAGGAACCCCATTCCAATAATAAAACAATTGAACAGGAAGTTGAGGCTTTCTTCACTTTGGCAGTTGAGGATTTTGAAGGTCTTACTGTCTTTACAGTATCTTTTGAGTTTGTTTCGGTAGTCAGCGAAGATCTTGGTATTGGCGTGGTGGAAGGTCGAGCTTTCTATATACACCGTCCGAAGCCCTGGCATGGCAATGATTAGGTCTAGTAGGTTGGGGAAGTTGCAGTTGATGATTTTGATTGAGCGGAGAGTGTAAAGCTTGTAGAAACAGACGGGTAGGTCTATTTTCGTGTTAGTGTTTTCAATGGCGATATGGGACAGGGAAAGAAGAATGGGCGTCCATTCAGATACTTGCCGTGGTAGGTCGTCTGGGTTTTTACTGCTCATGTTGAACCCATACTTTCCTATGTTAATTTTGATGTCAGTAATAGTGACTCTATTCAGAAAATCAACAATGTCCGTAATCTCGGTTGATGATAGGGCATAGCTTGGGTTCTTATCAGATGGAGGCAGGGTGGGCAGGGCCATGGTGAATAGAGTGTTGTTGATGGTTTCAGCAATAGCCAAGGAGGAGTTGACAGTGGGGTGGGAATGCTGGCGGTGCTTTTCATATTGGGTCCAGGAAGTGAACTTGGTGCCGGGGCAGCACATGAATGGCTTTTGCTTTTGGAGGATGTTAAGCGAGACAATCCGACTTAGCAGTACATCTGTACCGGCCCTGATTCGGTTGGGAGCAAATACAGTATGCTCTTTGAAGTTAGTGGTTGGTGACGGTCTATCAAGACGAATGTCGAGATAGAGATTGTCTTTGTACAAGATACATTCGGGGAGATACTCCATACTTGGCGCAATCAGGCGGAAGGACATGTCCTTTTTGGTAGGCTTGAGGACATCAATGTACTGCAAGCGGCTGGCGCTTATCTTGATGGTAGTGAGGTTTGGCCCGTTAAGAATGATTATTTCGTCTTGAAAATGATGGTTGGTGAACTCAAAGTAGTGGAGGTTGCTATTGGCCACTTCGATGCGCTGGTCAGGAAAAGCAACCTCTGGCATGTGGAGGTGGAGAGTGTGGAGTTTTGTACATGCCTTGAGACAATTAAAGGTAGACGTTAAGATAAAATCAGATGGTTGTAAGGCTACAATTCTGATTTCCTCTAAATTAATAAACTGGGCAAGATCAGTGAAGATTTCGGCTGTAATAGTACTTATGCCAGTGAAAGAAACATGAGTGATAAAGTATACGCGACTTTTAAGTAGATCCGGGAGACGTGGCGGGGCGAGCTTTTTTAGGACGGACTTTTCGGTAATACATATCTTGGTTGCTCTTTGAAGGACATTGTTGATGGTTTCGGCACTGAGATTGGAGGCCTTGGTGCTATCAAATGTTTCATTGGGCGCAGCTAGCACCCAGTTGTAGTCAGTGAGCGAAACAGAGTTGCTCGACGGGTCGGATGGTTCGGGTGTTTCAGTAGCCCCAAGGACAACCAGTGCTTGGATGAGTACCAGCAGAAAGAGTAGGTGTATTTGCATTGAATGAACTAACTCCGGGGTCCAAATACTAACCAAAAATCATTACATGCTGATTGGCCCATTTCCTTTGCATTCTATTGATAACTCCTCGATCTATTCTATTGGAAACCCGGTAGGATATATGAACTAGGAACACATAATCAGGATGCTGCTAAAAGAGATCTTAGTCGTTATCTGCTATTTGCTTTTTGGGTCGTGCCGAACTCAAACAGTACACAAAGGTGCTGGCAGTCAGTTATATCGCAATCATGCTGAACGGGGTAGCCGGATATTTGGTAACCCATCGGTCCTTGCTGCACACGATCAAAATGTGCACGAGTGGGATGTTATATTCTCTAGACGAGTCGGCCTCGAGGAACACTTAGCCGATCTTGCTGCAGTCACTAATATACAACAGCTTACTATCGCTGCTGAATATGACTTTAATGACCCATGCGACACCATGCTAGCCAGAATCTTCCAAGAACTATTAACTCATTCACAACTATCTCGTCTGATTCTTAAGAATATAATAGTTGACACCTTTCCAATGACTCTTAAAAACAACAGATACATTGAGCACCTTGTCTTTACAGATAACTTTCGCTTAGCCGCGGAAGAAGCCATCAAGGAGCACGATTCAGCCGCCGATTCAGCCACCGACCCAGCTAACCCAAAACCACAAATAAGTCCGAAACATGATAAGAAGAAGAAAGATATTATCCTGTTGGCCCTAAGTCTACCGCAACTCAAAAGTCTGCATCTAGAAACCACCGGACTATTATTGGCCCAACCAGCTGAACCACTCCAAGGCCTCTCAACCCGACAAGTGCTGGATTCTCTCACCGTGATTAATGGCGGTGTCTTCTTAGTTGAATTTATGCTAAAACGCATTGCCTCTACTTCTAGGCTGGTTCTCAAAGGTAACGGTTTTATTGGGCTTGATGTTTTGATGAACATAAACAACCCAACTCTGTTTAAGAAGATCACACACTTCGTTTTTAATGATGAGCCGTTTATTCAACGATTAGAGGTTGGATTCTTTTCCCAACTGACTTCTCTTTCTAATCTGTCCCTTCTTAACACCAATCCTAAAGTACTAGTAAGCAGCGCCTTCTTTACAAAAGAGCTTGTTTTTGAAGGCATCATCTCTCTTGATAGTCATCTCTATTTGCAAATGGAGGCCATTTACAACACATTCTTGGAAACCAAAACGTCTATTTTCGTGTTCGAGGTCTTTGAGGCCGCTATGACTAAGAACAATCTTGTCTTAGAGATAAGTAGACACATGGAACAGTACCGCGACATAGTTACCGGCGAGCACACCGTTATGCGTTCTATTAAGATTCACAACAGCAGGTTCTTGTTTAGCATCCCAACTCTCCACAACGTTTCAGTGCTCCGACTCACCTACACGAGCAGCGAACGTCTTGGGTTCGTCGACTTTACACAGCTACTTAAAACAGTAATGCACCGCGGCAAGCAGCTCGACTCTCTTGTTTTGCAGTTCACCAAGAAGGCAGTGGCGTATGAGTATGTCAACACTACTATAATAGAGCCAGGCGAGAACCCCAAGTTCTATATCAGCACTACTATGCTAGAGACAAGCAAGAACCTCAAGTTCTTTGCCATTGAAAACATTCAAGGCTCCAATAAAGCCGACATAAAGGCAGTTCAGGGCAAAGTCATTGCCGGTGAAGGCGACCCGTCCATCTTCATTGCCAAAGAAAGGAGTACTCTTCAATCTTCCTGGCAAGACATTCCAAATCTCGATTATACGCTATACTTGGTGGATACATACTATCTTCCAATTTGGTTCAACAATACTTTCAGCCAACACCCGGAGATTCTACTAGCAGATTACCGTCTAAATCTTCTACCACCGTCCACCACAATAACTGTGCCACTTTTACTTACTATTCTCAAGCAACTACATCCGAATGAGAGTCGGGCTAAAAATAGCCTAAAAGCACATATCCAATCACTAACCAACTTGTTTGATATGTGCCTGAAGTGTTTGAAACCCTTTGATTCGGTGTCGCACAACCCAAACAACAGCCCTTTAAAGAGGTACTTTGTGGTCCTTTCTTGCCGCCACCATCTCTGCCAGGACTGTATCTTCCTCATTCACAAGCCAGACGAAACTTCCCATGCTAGTTTATTCCCTAGCCTGAGCTCTGCCCTGTCCAAGCTAACCCAATACATTGCCAATAGAGTAACAGGTTCCAGCAGCGAAAACAACCGAAAGTCCACCTTCATCTGCCCAGTGCCAACCTGCGGTAAAGTCAGTAGCTACTATTACATTGATAACATCACAGCACTATTGTTTGGTAAGTCCGGGACGCCAGCATAGATATAGATTCAGCTGGCATATAATTGGCATGTAGATAGATAAAGCCCCAATGTGTGTCCGTTAAAGTTTAATAAACTCTAAGTAGCCAAAACTATATGCGCAATCTAAAACCTGTTGTTTTCTTTTGATGCAAAAGCAGCCTATTTTGATACCAACTTTGTTAGATATACAATAGATAAGCACTTGGATATTTATTAATTAGATGCTTAAGATTGGCTCGTAATAGCATCGGCTTCAATAGTGGGATTCTCAATCTTCTTGGCCTTCTTGAAGCCTAACTTTCTTTTCATCCACGAGAAAGATGAACTGATCGCATTCTTAGTAGCAGTGGCAGCATTTTGGACCTTCTTCTTAAGTGTTGTCTTGGATTGTTTATCATCTGATCCGATGATTGATTTTGTATCATCAACAACCACAGACCTATCATCAGTACGGTCGAAATGATTCGTGCTCGATGCGAGAATCGAATCAACTGTACCTGTTGAACCGGCAACATGTACCGTTACTGACTCAGTATTAGGGTTTGGGTTACCACTGCACATACAGAAGGCCTGGATACTGATTAGAGCAAGAGCAACAAGACGGACTAGTTTAAAAGATGATGACATTATGGATTAACAAGGGTATTATTAAAAATAAAGAAAGCAGAACACACACATTTGTGCTCAAAATTTCCTTTTTAGGAAAATTAAGAAAACAACAGCAAAACATTACATATAATATTACCATATTGGGTAATTCTTATAAAATCTTTGATTTTTTCCCAACTAACAAATGAAAGATAAAAGCGTAGATGTAGTGACATACATGGATGAACAGGGTCAATTGTATGGGATAACCAACAATGGGGAGTGGGTTGATTTCAATAAGGAGGACACCGTTAAGCGTCCGTCGCTTGGTTCAAACTATTCAAATACATCAATCAAATCAACTAAACCACACAGCCACCACCAACGAAACATAAACGATAAAGGGCCTTTTGCCAAAATGGGGTTTATCAACTATTGCTCGGCTATGTTTGCCGGTCTGTCTTTATGTGGGATTCTGTATGTGCTGTGTAATGTAGTCTGGGTGAGTCTGGACAATCTTCATTCTCTTTCGTATAATACACGTGTTGCGGCCGATCAGAATATTGTATCAGCCCTGGCCCTTGGAACAGTTCTTTTTGTTCTTATCGCGGGGTATATGCTTCTTGTGTTCCGGCGAGCTTTCCCTCGGAACTGTAGTAAAGTCGCCTCAATGGCTTACTTGGCAATTGGATGTGTAGTGACCGTAGTGCATTTGGGACTTATGGGAGTTGCAATGTACTTCTTAGCGCCAATGATAACTAAACTTGCCGTTGATAACACAGTTATTATGTTTGCTATCAACAACTTCTTTATGATAACTTTACCAGCGATTGCAGTGTTTTTGATGCTTATCGGCTTAATAATAGATCTACTAGGCCCAAGACATATCGCGCCAAAACCGAACTATTCAGTTGCAAAGACTTGGAGGCGACGACTGGTGATTGTTTTAGTACTAGCACTCTTTGTGGGAGCAAACATCATCATTGTAACGAATCACCAACTCCTTGGTGAAAAGATCTCGAAGGCACTGGGTTGGATGGCCGCTGTTACCCACCTACCTAAGTCATAAGTCCACTAAGAAAGCCGTCTTACACTGGTACAATTGGTTAAACACAATTTAACGTGTATGATCGATTAATAAAGACTCTATTCGAACTAGCGATTTATTAGAATGACTTACTTTTAGTTTGATATCCATCAATTTAACCCAATCATAAGTCTTAATCCAATACCACACCAAACTCAATACCATACCAAATGCCATCCCAACCAAACCCACCTAGATGCCAACTAACCCCAACTAGATACCCAATCACTGCTATTGTATAGAAGATGGTGCTGGATTTGTTGTCTGTCCAGGTTAACGGAAGAAACCAAGGAGAGCTTGGTATAAATCAAAATCATTAGATGCTAGTGCATCTGTGAATGGAGATGGGGGCGGAGACAAGGATGGAGATGAGGCACTAAGTATATGTTTAGTGCCGTTGGGGTGAGTTTGGATATTTGGCAATGGCTGCATTCTTGAGTGTATCAAGCAGGTTCGTTTGAGCTGTTTGCCCTGTAGAAAGTCGGTTGAGAAGATGACCGATAGCCACTGCAATTCCTAAAATGGCAATGCCAACCAATACAAGCTTCAGAATGCCTTTCTTGGTTAGCCACTTCTTCTTTCTACCTGCTTTATCCCAAATGCTGCTTGCTATCATCAGGACAAGAATAAGAACTAGTTGGAATATCTTAAACTTGATCCAAAAGTCGTCCTGACTGAATAAGCCACCAATTACACCTCGACACACCCACTTACTCAACAAACTAGTACCTAATACTGCTGCAGCTAGAACAATGACACCAAGAGCTATTCCAATGCGCCAAACAATTCGATGGGTTGTCTTATACTTAACATTAACGTTAGCTAGTTGCATGCACGCATATATTACACAGCAAATAGCCACAAATGTAGCACCTAGGGTGAGGAGAGAGCCGTTGAGAGTAACATAAGCAACTTGCTCGCGACTGCCTGTGAAAGAATCCACGGATCTCCAGAAATAGTAGCAAGGAAGAACGCATTGCCAAAGTAGATAGACTGTGGTGGTCGCAGTTGCAATGGCAAATATGTTGGTGACCCTTCGTTCGAGTTTAGTTGGAGAGCCAGTGGAAGGATCAGTTGAGAAATTAGAAGGCTTATTATTTCCTGACTCTACTTTCTTACCAGTTTCCCTTTGTGGTAGTTTTATATTATCGCCAAATGGGGCGGAATAATCCAACGGTCTGCTAGGGGCCATGCTACTGGGTTCGTACACTAGACCATTAGTTGTGCTACTACCAGATAAGTTTCTGTGACTAGACAGACTATTGGGTGAGTCATTAGGTTGAAGCATGCTGGTAGGGGGCTCATATAATTCGTTCTTGGTTGGTGGTACAGTTGGAATTGGGACACGACGCAGACCTTGTTGATTGCCTTGCTCGCTATCTGAGAATTGACTATTAGCAGCCAGATCAACTATGGGTGGCCATACGCGTCTTCGATGGCCTATAGTGGCTATCTTAGGCACATTGGCCGGGCTCTGGCCGACAAGATGGTTCTTCTTTGATGGAAGAGTGTTGGTAGCCAGGCGGGGATGTGTTTGAGGTGTTCGAGGTGGAATAGGAGGAGGAGAGGAAGGCCGTTTTGTTGAATAGGGCAATGAAGGTGCCATCTCATGAGGTATACTAACCCAAGTATCACTTCTGTTAAAAGGCGGTCGCTTAAAGGTAGAAAAGTTAGTATTGAGTTGGGTTGCCGGTTGTGGTAATAGTATGCGTCCGGGTTCAGTTGATCCTATTGCCTTGAATGCAATGGGAGGAGGAGGGGGAAGTGAGTCAAAATCATCTGTAGTGCTATGGGTGTCTTCCAGTGGTTTAGTTGAGTCTTGTACTCGGCCAGGTAAATGGGCAAGCGGCAGGGGAAGGTCGGGTGATGCTAAGCCTACGGGATCAGTTAGTAAATTTGCATTAGGCGCCGTAAGAGATGGAAGACCCTGCCATTTGCTGATTTGAGGGATAAATGTGCTAGTACCCGGTGCGTTTGTCGCGGCTGTTGGGGGCGGTGGGGCCTGCCTAAATGGCACTAGTAGATGGGGTGCAGATTTAGGTCGCGGTAATGTATTAGCCATGGGAGTGTGTTCAGATGGGGCGGAATGTCTTGCATCTAATTGCTCGGCTGGTCGGATAGCCTTGGGTGGCTTAAAAGTTGACATTTCATAGGTGTCATAATTGGTGGGATGGCTTGCATTATCTAAACCTGATGATTCTGATAAATAGATACTGGAATTCTCCATGTGATAGTGAAAAAAAGCTGAAAAATCAGATTTATCATTGGATTACCATATTAGGAATACGGTTATTAAAGACAGAAATGCGTAGGGAAATTACCGGTTTTATTATCGAGTTGTTATTGAATTGACACTGTGCTGGTATGTTTTTAGTAGATTCTGATAATATAATATCGCAGTCCTGCATTCGTAGATGTTGTTCTGAAGGTGGGTTTTTTCCTTTTTGGGAAATTTTCCTTTTTGGGAAATTTGGCACAGAATTTGTTCTATTCAAAATGTACCGACTTGGTGTTATGGGTATAAGATAGAACCTTTTATAAAATACTAGTGGGTAGTTGTGATATATAAATTAGGTGGATTTATTAAGAGAGTTGTTTTCTTCGGTCCGCCATTTTAAACTCTCGTATTTATTCATGTTCAGGTCTATTTATAGACAGGAAAATTTCCTTATTAGGTAATTTCCTTCCCGTCTTTTTAAAACCGGAAATGTCCTTTTAGGAACATACAACAAAGAGAACGGCCTTAAATGGTGTTTAAGTCTAAGCGCTTCTTTATGTCTTCTAGTAGAATCTTTTTAAGCTCATCTGTATCTGGAACAGTAAAGTCTTTAGTATGACCATCTGTATCTCGAACAGTAAACTTTTCAGAACTGCTCTTGTGACGTGCCAAAAAGGTATCTATGCTCGTTGGTAATTGAGGCTCAATTCTTGCAACTAATTTATCCCAGTATTTTGCCTTCTTGCCCTCTTTTAGATGCTTTGCATGTTTCCTGGCCCATTCAACCTCAGCTTGGATATCAACTGTATAGGTCGCATAAGCATTTTTGAAGATTTCAATATAGCTCTCTTCCTTAGTGGGGTTAGTATCGGGTTTTACTGTAGTGGGTTGCGGTAGAGTTGGCACGGGGTCAGAGATGGTGCTTTCATCTACTGAAACATTATGAGCTGTTGTATGTTGTTGTGGTTTTTTAGGGCGTGTCGTTGATCTAGGTTTGGGTATAGGATGTTCGGGGTTGGTAACACTAGCCTGTAGTGGTTGGTATTCTAATTCGTTTGCTAATGTTAGAACAGGCACTGGGCTGGAATCAGTGAGTGCTTTCATAGAAGAAGTGGGTTCTGGTTGAACTGGCTCGGGCTCCTTATTAATAGTCGGGAGAGGATCTCGTGGTTCAGAAAGGATTCTCTGATGTGACCGTTTTGATGGAGCTCTAAGAGTATTCTTATGTGTTTGGCCAGAAGATGCTAGTGTTGAGCGATGTGTTGTTGGGGTTATCTCTTGTGATAGGTTGTGAGAATCTTCTGGGTTGTGCATTATTATGCTAGCGGTTGTAACGACGCGAGGAGGTGCGGTGGTGGGAGAAGCCATTGAAGTGAGTTGCTCTGGTTTTGGTTCTACTGGGTGGGTAAGTTCGTGGCTTATGGTGCGTGGTGGTGTAAATGGGGGCAAATTATCTTCTTGTTCTCTAACAATGTCTTCTGATGTATCTAATGGCTTAGTTCTTCTTATCATGTCTGGATTCGGATCTGATGATGTTGGGCTTGCGGTAAATGATGAGAAACACGGCATGTTGGCATCACCTCTTGTAAACCCTTGTGTTGTTTCTTGTTCGGGCATATCTGTGGGTGGTATTGGCTCTTGTTTGGGCATATCTGTGGGTGGTATTGGCTCTTGTTCGTGTACATCTGTGGGTGGTGCTGGCTCTTGTTCGGGTATATCTGTGCCTGTTGATATATCTACTTCATCGTCTGCGAGAAAGAACGGTCTTGTCTCAGTCGGTCTTTTTCGAAGTCTATGTATGTAGATATATAATAGGACAAGCACAAGAACTAGAACAAAAGTGCCTATGACAGCAATTATGCCATTAGTGGTGAGCCGTGTTTGAGCCTCCACGACTGTATTCGGGCCTGGCTTCGGTTTGTATTCATCTATAAGTTCAACAATCATATCACTTAACTTCTCGAGCCCCTTACGAAGGTCTTCCGGATAGTTGGTTGAAGAATTGAGACGTCCGGTTCTAACGTCAAAAATAGAAAGATCTGCCATTTTTTGATCGTTTTTTTGTCATCATTTATAATGATAACAACTTAAAAATTTCCTTTTTAGGAAAACCCCAACTGGCCTATCAAAAATTTGTTTGTGTAGTGCCGTTACACAACCACTTACTCCTTCTTCACACCAAGTCGTTTGTTTATGGACTGATCGCACACGTATTAGGTTATTGGGTTAGTCGAGAATTCGAATCATATCAAACACTAACCCAATAGAAGTATGACGTCATATCATCGTTTACATTCAATAAATGGCCGACTATGTCGTATCAAGATATGTTTTTAATAGAGTATGGATTAGTCTAGATGGACTTCGCATTAGACACTATAGTTTGACTAATTTATTTACTCATTCAACAAATGATACTAACTGCCACCCCAGCCCTAGCCCACTTCCACTCTCTACTATCCTCATCTTTCTATACCAACCCTATACCCCTCTTTTCTCTATACCAATCATATACCAACCATATACTAACATAATACTACTCAATAAATTGAATCTAAACTAATCTAATCCATTAACTTTCCTTTTTAGGAAACTCTGCTGATATTTCTTATTGCAGTGTTCTTTATTGGGCCAGTCTTTTAACTTGACCTTAAGTTGATATTTAAAAACAGCTGTACCAAATCAACTTAATCACAAGCAAGACAGCCATGGAAATCAAAAAGACCAAATCAACTATGTCCGGTTTTTGTTTGGTTTCAGTAATGATTTCGTGGAGATAGGCAAAATAATGCTGGGTGGTGTAGTTGTATTTTTCAATTATTCGTACATTTGTCTGGTCTTTGTGGATCGGCGTAAGATAAATCCAGCAGAGAGTACCTTTTGAATGGTAGTCAATCGAAAGCGCATTGTTGCCTACCTTGTAGATTTCATCAATAAACTCGTTGTCAAATTGAATCGTTCGGCGGTTGATGTACGTTTTGATCTCGATCTTTTGGTTAGTTAAGGTTTGGTAGAACTCAAGTGTCTTTCTTTGGTTAGTGATCTCTTTTAATAACTGCCGAATGGGCACATTGTATATCTGTTCTTCTTCAGACATGTGCTTCTCCTCCACTTTCTCGGCCGGTCGTGGGAAGTCAGCTTGGAAGATGCTTTTGGTACCAGCTGGTAACTCCATGACTTTCTGCCAGAGCTGAAGAGCCACTGGATAGGCATCTTCCTTAAATGAAACAGCTCTAAAGCTGTATGTTTTATCATAAGTAATGATATTGAGACAATGTTGTAAAAGAATTTTGGTAGTTACTTCGATAGCAATTACATTTTTGAAATCAATGATAATAGATGCTTTCCCAAAGAAGCTTTTGGTAAAGAAACAAATATGTTCTGTACTGATATATATTCTACCTTGATAGTATTTGGAATTTTCATTCAGTAAACAAGTATTAGAATATTCTAAAGCTTCATTCTTGGGAATACTTTTGAACAGCTCATGAAACTTCTCTCCACGCTTTAAAGAAGGTAGATGCTTTCGATTTACACTTTCACCATTCATAAACACTAGTTTTTGAGTGTAATTTGAAAATAAATGTCGAAACGAAACACTCTGAGTTGGTTTTTGAAAGAACAATATTGGGAAGATCTATCTATTAATGAAAAGATTGAAGCAAGTATTGCTTGTTGTCGTAGTGGGCTGGGTTTTGACGGTCGGTGCATGCTAATTCGTGAGATTGCAACTACTATTAAGCGAGAATTGGAAGGTATTATGGCCAATTTGAAGTTTCAGGACTTGGAAAATGACGGAAGCCAATCAAATATGACAAAGTCTGGCCAAAGTATGATTTATGATAGGATGAAGGTTGAGGAATATATTGGTAGATTGGCTTCATGGGCCGATGCAACTGTGCTTAAGTATAGTTATAAGATTGTGTGCAGTCCTGATACGGCTTTGGGTTTGGTTTTGATTTGTTTGGAGATAATTAAGACGGGCGTGGCCTTAGTGGAGGTGGGTCTTGATGTTGGGTTAGTATTGGGGTTAGCTTCGCCATTTCTGGGTCTAGCTGCTTCGCTGTGTCATTTGGTGGAGGGCCGGGTGAGTCTTGGGCTTATGCAGGAAGTGGCCAGGCTTTGGCGGGAGTATAAAGGTTCGGAAGTAAGACAGATTGGCTTGAATATAGAAAGAATAGGATACGTTCTGTTGCAAGATAAGGAAATCAAAATAATGCCATTTTTGGTTGAGCTTATGCGGATAAGACACTTGTCGGGGTTGCATAAGTTGTTTATTTATGCTTTAGAGGGGGAAATTGATGAACTTGATGGTTTATTTGAACTTTTTCGTATCTTTGGTCCTGATGAGTTGGTTGATAGTATGCTTCAGGTGTGTATTGAAGATGCCTGTACGTTTGATCTTTATTTAGTGGTGTTTATGTACTTGTACTATTCTGGGCAGGACTACTCGCGGTTGTTACTGTGGTTGGTGCATTGGTGTACGGACCAGAAGTATAGTCTTACTTTGCAGAGTAGTGAGAAAGACTCTAATGAGAAACGCGCACTTTGTATCTTGACTCGGATGCTATACTTATCGGATGGGGTCGTTGAGATAGAGAAAGAAGAGTTGTACTGGAGCACACGATCCCTCTTAGTGATCTTGCATAGAACATACTCTGAGAAGGATGTGATTAGAGCTATGCAGTGTGGTACTGATGAGTCCTTGTTTTTCTTTCATGCCGTGGTGTTGATTAATCGGCAAGTTACCCTGAAGCACTTGTGTGTCTCTTTTGTCCTGGCTAATCTGGCTAAAATGCCTATCTGTTTGTACATTGCTCTTTTGTTTGACTTGCCGATTGAAACTACCTTTGCGAACTCCAAGGAACAAGTCCTGTACTTAGTATGTCGTAATAAGAAAGAAGAACTGAAAGCACATATTCCACAGTTTATTTCGGATGGTCTATTGGGATTCTCGACCTTCTTAGAGAAGAGTCTTCCCGTGGTGGAGCTATACTTCCCAATCTTCTATTCCGTGCGAAAGATAGATATTGGCCAGGCCTTTGTATTTCCCGAAAAATGGCGGATTCTTCCAACTAGGTCGATAGATAAGGATATTCTTGCTCCAGGCCGGTGGATGAACGATGACCGGAAGAACCTAGCCTGGATGCTCTTTTTAGAAACAACAACTAACTTGCTTGCCGGCACTAAGGTGGCCTACACAACCAACTACAGTCTTGAACTTCTGCTGAGAGCGCCTAGAATCACACGAGCTGTCTGTGCCTCTTCCTTTCCAACCAGAGAAGAGCATATTCTCCAACTATGTCTTGAAACCACAAACCGATCCCAGCAATTAACCCAGTACGAACGCCTTAACCTTCACTCCGCCATCTATACCATCGGCTGCCAAACGCAAAACCCGTCTCTGCAAAGCGATATCTTTGCTTATCTTAAGAAGAACCTTTCCTTCCTCGAATACCATGCACTTGTTAGACCAGGCCCTAACTCATCCAGACCTGCCAATTTACTTGCTCAGCTGATTCAGGATGCCCTGCCCGTTTGTACGCCAATCCGCCAGCAAGTCGATAGTATACCCAAGCGTATTCAGAAGAAGATAGACTACTTCGCCAAGGCCGCAACCCTTTCCCCGCGCAATCTCTTTATTCTCAAGACTTACTTTAAATTGAACTATCTCTCCTACGACCTACTTAAGAGCACAACTGATAGGTATTTTTCTCCAACCAGCAAACTAGCACAATTACTTCCAATCTACTACAATGACTCATTAGAAGAAACCATCCCAGGCCCACCACTTGCACCCAACTCACTGCTTTATATCATTGATGCCTTTATGCGCTCTCTCTTCCCAGAGAAGGTCTTTTTCTATCGCTTTCTCTGTCGGGCTCTAGGCCATACCCAGGCCCTAACCCAGCTAGAAGTCTGCGCTCTCATCCAGGCCCTTGAATACGCCCACGCTTATCGCCGGAAATGGTTTGGCTGGCTACACCTTCTTTTCAATGAGTATACGGTTGAGTTTACCCGTTCCCGTCATGTTCTGAAGTTCCAAAGGCTTGGCCCCTTTTGTCGTGTCAAGCAGATGATTGCCTTGGCTAAATGCCAGCAAAACCTCTTCACTGCCCATTACAATACGACTAACCCCGAAAAATCAACGGCTGCCTATTTTGCCGACTTAATTCCAGTCACTAGCTCCATCAAGGTCCTTCTTTACCTGGAACAAATGCCCAAACCACCACACAAGCTTTTGGCTGAACTTCCTTGCCAATCTTCGGTTTCCTTTATTGAACTCTTCTATTCTCACGACGCCAAGGTGTTTGCAACGTTCACTCCAGATTATGCCGATTTCGCCCAATTCTATACCACTAGTCTCCATCATGCCGGTCTGTGCCCCGCCCGCTATACTCAAAGTGATCCTTTCTTACTCTTTTCCAGCCGGCATCAGGATAATGGTGTGTTGGCCAAGCCGTTATACAAAACAGAAGAGCCACCTCTTCCGTCTGTGGAGGAACTTCTTGAAGCCGCAACTAAACTCGAGCAGTGGAGTGAAGCCCTTGATAAAACCGAAGCCATGCATTTTATTCTGGCCAACTCTTTAATCATCAGTGGGCGCTCTGATAACCGCTACATTGACTTTTTGTTAGTAGATGGCCCCAGCCAAAGATACAAGTTCCTGCGCTCTTTAAACCCTACCGGTGTCTCTGGACGTACATATAATGGTTCTGACCAGATTGAGGAGGCACTTCATATGTGCACTCTTCCTCCCCATCGCCTTATCTTTGCCCTTGACGAGCGCCGGGTTCTCAACAGCAGTGCTCTCTGTCTAACTGTCTCCGCTCTAGAACACAAGTGGCTTAATAAGTCAGCTGAAGCCTTCCTATCAGGCAATTCCAATTGCCAACCCATTATTGCTGATATTATCGCCCCACATTATACTAACCCAACCCGAGTTGAATCTTGTACTAATCCAAGCCAGAAACCTACTACTTTAGACGAACTAAACAACCTACCCTGTTCTGCCTCAAGCGATACTACCAACCTAGCTATCTATCTTCTCCTACTGAAAATCGAAGAAAGAATCCTTCCCTCACCCAACCAACTCCAGCTACTAGAAAGAGTTCAAGGCTATCTCGAAGCCCGAACTAAAAACAGTCAAAAGGATCCAACCGCCCTCCTCTATGCCAAAGCCGTCTCTATCCACACCCTCTATATGGCCCAAGAGTGCAACAAACCGCCTAAACACGTACTTAATAACTACATTGAGAAGGCCACAACTGCTAATTTTGGCTTCTACCACTACAATGTCTTTTGTTCACTAGCCAAAGCCTGTTTATTCATCTTTAACTCCCAAACCATCCATCGCTCAGTCAAGAACAAGAAACCAAAACCCGACGGGCCTACCAAGCATAAGTTCGTTCAAAAAGAGGAAACAGTTGTTCGCGAGCTAGAAGAAGAACGAACCAAAGAAGTCACTGAAATTGAAACCAAAGCCCGCACCCTAGGCCTAAAACTTCTCATTCGCGTAGCTGAATTTCACAACAATCTCCAAAATCTAGTTGGACTTATCCATCTTCTTTTCTCAGAAAAGCACCAACAAGACAAAATCGATCCCAATTGCCTAAACGACATCGATATCCGTTCTTTCTTCCCACTTAAACAACAAATTATCTCCTACTACTATCACCTCTTATCAGTAGCCAAAAAAGCAACACTTACACAAACACTCAAACTACTCCTCATGCGTATGCTAGAGACAGCTCCCCACCGTGTCGCCTACGACATTCTAATCCGAGAAAGCCCGCAGGCCCACGATAAGTTTGTCTCTCTTATTCCCCCAGAGATTCGCCGTGATATCAAACAAGTAGTCCGTGAGTACCATTTAATTCTAAGACAGGCCCAAGCCGCCATTCCCATCACTGCTAGCTTCCCTCCTAAAACACCCGTTCTTACCTCCTCTATCGATAAGTTTACTAAAGATCCAATTATTCAACAAGTCCTCCCCAAATCCAAGCAACTTAAAGGCATCAACAAGCCGGTCCGAATCAAAATTCTAGCTAGCAATGGTCTTATCTACCAAGAAATCCTAAAGCTAAACGACGAGCTCCGCCAGGATATTCTAAGCACGCAAGTCTTTCACTACATGAACACCATTCTTGATAACTCCACCGGCACTTCAATCTTTGGGCCACGTATTCGTACCTCCTGCACCACCCCCATAATCGAGTCACGCATTCGCACCTATAACATCGTTGCCCTCGAACGGTTCTTTGGTGTTCTAGCTTTCATCCCTAATGCAGAGCCACTCGGCACCACTATCGACCAACTACGCAATCTATCCACCAAACCAGCACTAACTCATTCTGAATGCCGCAAAACCATGGAAGATTCACTTAATCTCCCCCTATCAGAAAGAACAGCTATCTTTTTAAAGGTCCTTAAATTACACCCACCGGTGCTTAAATACACCTTTGATGGCCCAGGTCCCTTTGAGTACTTCAAGCAAAGAAAGACCTTCACTCATTCTTTCTCCATCAATGCCATTGCCACCTATGTCTTAGGCCTAGGAGATCGCCATCCCCATAATATTCTTCTAGATAAGACCACCAAGGAGTGCATTAACATTGATTTAAATCTAATTTTCGACCAAGCCCGACTCCTATCTACTCCCGAACGTGTCCCTTTCCGGATGACCCAAAACATTGAACAAGCCCTTCTAGCCTATACCACCCATACACACCAAAACGCCATGGCCGCTTTCTTCGCCGCTCTCAAAGAAACCAAGGAAAGTTTCCTTGTCTTCATCAGTATTATCCAAGTCGAACCTCTCTACCGCTGGCAAGTCATCCGTACTATCTCAAGAACTCCCCGACTCTTCTCTGACTACCAAAGCATTCTAGCCCGACTCCAAGACAAACTCAACGGTACCGAAGATGGATTCACACAAAGCAATACCGCCCATATCCAAGCCCTTATTCTCAAAGCCACCGATCCATCCCGACTAGCCCAAATCTATCCCGGCTGGTCACCCTGGATCTAACTAATCCCCAAATAAACTCCCTAGACTACTACCAACTACTTTGTATTTTCTTATCTATTTAGTTATTTCCTTCAACCCACCATTTATTATCCATCTATTTAAGTACTACTAATACTAACCCAATACTGATAAGAGCAAAACACTACACTATACGATACTACTAACTCAACTAATCACTCAACTAAACTCTCTACTAGCCACCATACTACTAACTACAATACATCATACTACACTGCATCACCCAACTACACCACACTATACATCATACTACACTACTAAACTATACTATACTACATTACTACCCCACCCAACTAACTATACTACTAACTACACTATACTACATCACCCAACTACATCACACTACTGACTCAATTGCTAACCCCACACCACTCAATACTAAACTATACTAACTACACTACTAACTACCCCAATACACTACATCACCCAACTAACTATACCACACTACACCACTCAATACAATACTATATACTATATACTATATACTATATACTATATACTAATTCAATTGCTAACCCAATTTATTGTGACTATCGTACCATTGCCGTGCCATGATACTTCATTTGCTCTTTAGCAAACAACTCAAAGTACTGCCCAATAATGGAAACAGCCAGAATAATGTTCTGACCCGAGCCAATCGTATCCAGTAAATCACTCATAATGGAAATCCCACCAATGATTATCCCCGATAGCACAGCCGCAATAGGAATGTACCTATTCAGCATATCTTGGGTTCCTTGCACTGAATGACCTTTCACCACTAACTTCTGCCGCGTCAACTGCTTACCCACCTCTGTAGGAGAACTTTCATTCATCTCCATCCAGTAGTAAGCCAGTAAGGCCGAAGTCCCCAACATAAAGACCGAATAGATCAAAAAGTGAATCGGCCGTTTCAAAGCGGCTAAAACATTACTAGGAGGTGAGATATAGTAAGCAATCCCACTAACTGGCTCATAAGCCAAAGACTCTCTAATATCCCACACTCCTAAAATACGCGTATACCACCGACCTGGGCACCGATCACTCAAGAACCTTGAACACCTATAAAACGTCGTAATAGCCTGATTTTGCAAGATAATCGGCGTACTAGATACATAGAATAACTTAATGGCCCATTTCATTTGCGGCGTTTTAGCCTGCATTGAATCCAAAGGCAACTCTAACCTAATATTGTACAGATAGATAACTAAACAAAACATAGTAGCTGTACTAGCTAAACAAAAGAGATTGGGCAAGTTCTTACGAAAGAATGCTTCATAAATTGCCTCCAACTTATTCCGTCTTATCTTTAACAGTTGTAAGAATGAAAGAACTGAACCTTCAAATTCAGGACCTCGGCCCGTACTGTACACCGAAGGACTAAATGCCTTCCAAACAATTGACTCACAAATATTAGCTACAATAAACAGATTAACTCCAGAGCCTAAACCATAACCTTTCTGTAACAACTCATCTAAAAGAACAATAATCACTCCTGAGAACATTAACTGCACAACAATCAAAAGACAAACTGACATACCTAAATGACTAGGAGATCCAAAAAAGCCAGTTGATACCTGGATTAAAGCATGGGCAAAAGTAATCAAGAGGGCTAAGAGCTTTTGAAAGGCTGAGAAGAGAATTGAATCCTCTTTGATATTTTCATCAACTTTGATAAGATCAACAAAGGTTAAGAACTGAGTAACACTACCTGCCATTAAAATTGGACCTAAACCTAAATCCATAAGCGTACCACGATTACCTGCCATCATAGCTCTAAGCCAGTAGACTGGATCGGCCTTATCACTAATCATAATACCAAATAAAGGTATTTGTGAACATACTAAGTAAATCAAAATGGCAGTTAAAGTCCAGAGGAGTTTCTCTTGGAAGAGAATTTTACGGTCATTAGGGGCCACTTCGGGCAAGAAACGGGCAAAAGGCTTAACTAAATCTAATCCTCGCATAATTACGTCAAAATAAAAAAAGTAATTATGTAGAGGTTATGTTTCTTAATTGTGAAATTGGTTCTATCATATCTTTGTTTTTGAAATTTAGATGGACTTGTTTGATAAGGTTGAGGATGGCTTGGGTTGGGATGTTTCTTTTTTGGTAGAAGTCTTGTAAGTAGAGAAGGTTGATAACGAGGAGATTGCCTTTACGTCCGAAGGGTTGGGTACGGGCAATGAAGATATCTTTGAGATCTTGAATGAGGAGGTTGAGGAGGTGAGTATGGAGGAGAGTGAAAGTTTGGGTGGTAGGTATGAAGTTGGTGGTTTCTGGGGGTAGGATGAGGTCGAGTTCTTGGGTGAGTTGGAGGAGCCAGGGTTCTGGCTGGACGGAGTATTGGAGGTCGGTGCTGTAAGTGGATGTAGGATGGAGGTCAAGAATGAGGGCGCGGATTTTAGCGACTTGTTTTTGGCAGAGGTATTGGACGACTTGATCTTGCATCTTTTGAACTGGCTGAATGTTTAGTTGAATTGAGTGAGTAGTGGTAGGGGTGGGGGTAGTAGTGGTATTGGTGTTAGTATTGGTGTTAGTAGAAGTAGAGGTGTTAGTATTCGTGTTCTTATTCGTATTGGTATTAGTAGTGTTGGTATTGATATTGGTATTGGTATTGGTGTTAGTAGTGGTATTAGTAGAGGTATTTTGAAGTTGTTGGGTGAAAGTGAGCATGGTAAGGGTAATGAGGAAACGTTGGGGCATGGGGGCCTTGTCATTTTGAATAAAGCGAATGGAATGGTTGATGTAGCAGTTAAAGAGTTTTTGGCGGTACTTAGGGTACTTTTCATCTTGGACTTGAGCTATTAGAGTGGCTAGGAAGTGCATAATGTCTTCTGGTGTATAGGCGGAAGTTGAAGTGGGTTTAGGTAGAGTTTGGGTGGGTTTAGGAGTAGATTGTGCTAGAGTGGATTGGGTGGATGTGGATGTGGATGGATTGGGTTTCATGTAAACAGAAGAAAGTAGTGTTTATTTAGTTGAGTTGAGTTAGGTGGAGTTAAGTTAAGTATTAAGTGGAGTGGATATGAATTAGATTGGGTTAGTAGATATGAATAAGTGTTTATTTAGGATTGGGGAGTTCAGTAATGGCTGTGATTTTGTCGCCTCGGATGAAAATAGTTTGGGTGGGTGTTTTAATGACAGTATTAAGATAGGAGTCAATGGAAATAAGAATGCCGGATATTTGGAGATTGTGGTAGGTGATAGTGACGGAATGGTTAATAAGTTCTTGGTAGGGGAACATTGGATGGACGTGGGTGGGGTTAAATTTTGCTTTGGGGGACGGGTTGCATTAGACCGGTATGAAGAAGATGGGCAATGTCTTTCTTACGGGCATAATAAAGAGATCCTTTTTTGGCTTCCACAAAGGTACTTCCCATTTGTACAATGCCACAGTCTTCAATTGCTCGGGCATGAATGTAGTATTCAGCGGGTGGATCACGATTATGGAAAGAAAGAGTTGGCCAGAGTTCAAAGTATTCACGGGTGATGGTAGCGAAGCGTTGGAGATGGGGTGAATGAGTTTCTGGGACTTGGCCAAAGATCCATTGGTTTTCTAGAGTTTTGGTCTTTTGGAGTTCGACTAGATGGAGTAAGTGTTTTAATCGGTCTATCTCTCTTTTAAGAAGGAGATAAGCAATAGATAATTCTGGGGGAGGAGAGGGTTGGTCTAATGCTGAGGCTATTTCTTGGAGTCTTTCGTTTTTGGTATCAATTTGGGTGCGTAGGCGAGTGATTTCTTTGGGTGAGACTGGTTGGGAGAGAAGGAGATTTAGTGGCTCTTCTTTCATGATCTAGTAGGCGAAAAAAATGGTGTATAAGCTGGACTGTACTGGTGGTGCTACTGTTATCTGGTGGTGTTAAGTTGGTTGGATCTTGATTATGAGTTGGATTCGTATGGGTGGCGGTTGTGGTTGAATTTGAATTTGAATTTGAACTTGTGGTAGGACGGGTATGAATGGTATTGATAAGAATATGTTTGATTTCTGCTAGGGCTTCATTGATATCTACGTATGTTTTGGCTATCTCATCAAGTAATTTGTGGTTAACAATATCCATAGGGTGATGTCGGTTGGTAATAAATAATGATTGAATTGGTAAGTTTGTGAAATTAGGTTGGCTTAAGTTAGTTTAGTATATGATTTGAGTTAGGATTGAGTTGGTATTTAGTTAAGGACAATGTATATGGGATGGATGTCATTTAGTTGTCAACTTAATACAATACAAACTCTATTAAAGATATTCCTTGATATGAGTACTGGTACCTTTTATCAGATAAAATCTGGTGGTCAGTAAAGAGCGATTTCATAGCGAGATATAGATTAGATAGGTGCCCTAAATTGGTTAAGGTAGGTAAATTGAAATGGTCAGAGCATCCAGAGTCTCCTTAAGTTGAAGAAGTTCTTAATATCAATAACCGACTGTTGTGTGTAGATTTACCAATGATTAGATTGTGTTAGGTTAGTATTTGTACTGAGTTGTATTCGTACTAAGTTGTGTTATTGATTTGAATGCCAATCCAATACTTTCCCTTATCTAAATATAATCTAAGCTTAAGTTGAGTTAATATTTAAATTATCTGGAAAGGCTTCTAAATTAGAATTAGGATGGGTTGAGTTTGAGTTTGAGTTTTAGAAAACATTAAATTGAATTGAGTTAATATTGAGATTAGTATTAGGATTTAGATAAGATTGTTGTGGCTGTTTGGGTGATAACAACTGGTATATGGTTGTGTAACGGCACTACAGTTGATATTAGGATAAAAGGACAAATCAATAGATAGAAATTGAGTTTATTTAACGACAAGAGATAAGAATAAAGAGATAAAACTAGGAGGATTAGGTATTAAGGAAGGCAACACTTTTGGAAAGGAGTTTGCGGACAGTATAGAACTCCTTAGAGAGTTCTCCTTCAATTTTAAGATAGATACCATCAAAATAAATGAAGATGTTTTCATTAACAATAAGTTTGTTATCAATAATTTCCGACTTTATCTTGGCTTCAATGAATAATTGACGAAGGTCTTTGAGGCGAATAGTACCAATGCACATTCCTTCTTTTTCCTGGTTCTCCTCAGCCGTAGGTAGAAGAAGTAGGGCCTTCTTACCCTTTTCAATCTTACCATGGAAGTAACCAATCATACACGTCCCCAGTGGCTGCATGTTGACTTGAAGAAGTAGATCCTTTTGGATTTTAACGGGTAAAGTATGTCGAACAGCATAAACTTCCTGGGAAGTGACTAGTTCTTGAACGGTTGGGGCCGTACTGGTGTACATAAGATAGGCCGTAAGGACTTTTCTCTTATCTGGATTTTGACCATAAACAATGATACGGTCCGTTTCAGCTCCAGCCAATAAACCTTTGAAATTATAAATATCACATTCACCAGTAAAGAGAACTGTTTCTATTTTAGCTTTGATAGAGATATTCTTCTTTTCTTTGATAAAGATTTTGAAAGCTTTCTTCTTCACAATCTCAGGCTTTATCTCTACTTTTTGTTCTTCCTCTTCTTTATGATGGCGAATGAAAATAGGTTCACCATACTCATCGGATGGTTTGCGCCGGGAAGGATTGGGAAACATTAAGTCATTGATCGTACCTTCTAGATCGTAGCCGATATAGTTTTGTTCTTTTTCTGTCGTATCAATTTCATCTTGGATTTGGTGCCAGAACTTGCAAAGAATCTGGCCACGATCTTCCTCTTCTTCTGAGGAATCCTCTATCTTTTGCTTAACCAAATCATCTATTTTCTTCTGAGTCTCTTCTTCTTCTTGTTCTTTTTTGGACATCTTATCTTGCTTTTTGATTTCACTATCTGAAAGTCGCGTATACTTAATCGGACAAATACTGAACTTCTTGCTGTACCCAAAACTAGGTGTTGTCTGAATAATCGTATTACTTGATGATTTAGCAATAATAGGCAGAACAATTGGGGCAAACCCAGAATCACCATACTTATCAATCACAAAGACAATCGGGGCATCAAGTCTTTCAGAAACACATTCATCATAGAACTCCAAGCGCAATAAGTTAAAAGGATTCTCTTTCTCTTGGTTAAACCGTTGCAGAACAGAAGTACCTGTCCATTCCAGAATAGTCTTAACTGCATCAAAGTACTTCTTACCGTAGTAGGAGTACAAAGCCATAGGTAGAGGTGGTGAAGGTTGCGCATTATGAATAGTCATAGTTAGTTCTAGTAATTGCGAAAATGAAGTAGCAATCATAACCTTCCCTTCTTTTTTGATTGTATCTCTGATAATACTCATTAAAGCCGTATCTCTTTCTTTACGAGTAGTTCGTTCTAGCTTAGTATTAGCACTGTTCACCACTATACAGATAGCTTTTTTCATACTAGTCGTATCTAAACCATCTAAATGAGCTTCTTTTCGGTGGTTAACCTTATCACAAACAATCCAAACTTGATCATTCTTTTGAATTTTCCAGATAGCACCACCGGTTGAACTGCCACTATTTAAAGGTCCCACTGTAATATTATCAGCTATTTCATAGGTCTGCATATACTTCAAAGGCACAATCCGGTCAAAAACTTCATCGGGCCGATTGCCAAAATGAGAGAGACCATGGAAGTCTTGTAAGACCTGGACTCTTTCCATAATCTCAATCCGGCCTAAAATCTTGATAGGTACAGTTCCAATAATTGGCACAGAAATGTCTAAATCTCGCAAGTGCACTAGACCGCCTAAAGATGATATATCACTTGAACACAAAAGAATATGTGTGATTCCTTGTATCTGTTCTAAATTGGGGTAGATATCAAGGGACAAGTCCGGTTCAGTCCCAAAATTCACCAGAATCTTCAGCTGGTCAATTTCAAGTATTAAACACCCCGATTCAATTTCAACAGTGCGGTCAATATGGGTTATCGTCAACTCAGTAGTCTTTAGCATACAATTAGTAAAAATATGAAATGATATATGTCTTACACTATTTTAGGCTTAAGATAGCCGTAAAGAGGTTAATCTTGAGTTGGTATTGAGTTAGATTGAGTTAGATTGAGTTGGGTTAGTATTGGGGTGGTGTTGAGTTAGTGTTGAGTTGGGTTTCTGTGTAGTATAGGTTGGATTGGATTGAGTAGGGTTGGGTTAGGTTAAGTGATTTACCAAAATATCTGATAAGGAAGTGTTTTTATGAAGTTAAGTTAGGTTAAGTTAAGTTAAGTTAGGATGGAGAGTGTAGTGTAGAGTAGTGTGATGTGGTGTAGTAAAGCTAGATGATATAAGTTAAGTTAAGTTAAGTAGTAGTAGAGGTAAGTAGTAGTAAGTTAAGTAGTAGTAAGTTAAATAGTAAGTCAAGTACTAAGTCAAGTACTAAGTTAAATACTAAATCAAGTAATAGAGGTAAGCACTAAGTGATATAATAAGTTAAGTACTAAGTGATATAACAACTTGAGTGATATCCCAACTCAACCCAACCCAACCCAATACTAATACAAACTCTCTTTATTGCTTCATTGGTACATTTACTTAGCCAATGGGATTGGCCTTGGCCTGGGCTAGCGATGAAGTGGGACTAGAAGTAGACGCATCGGGAACTGGTTGAACTTGGGGTGGATTTAATTGTTCGAAAAGACCTATAGCTTCTACCGCTGATAAACGCTCACTCGGATCAATAGCTAGCATCTTCTTAATAATACGGGCAAACCCAAGTACTTCCGGCCGACCCGACCGTTCTACTATATACTCCTCCATACGTCTTGACCTATCCTGAATCTGAGCCAGCAACAACTCCTTACTCGGTCCTTTAAACAGTAACTCATGAATCAATAACTCAGCCAAAACACAGCCCGTCGACCAAACATCAATTTTCTCATCATAACTCAAGCCAGCATGTAATTCCGGCGCCCGATAATTCCGAGAACAAATATAAGAAATATTAGACTCCCCCATCCTTATCTCTTTCGCACTACCTAAATCACAAACTTTCAAAATACCCCGCCCCAAATCAATCAAAACATTAGAAGGTTTAATATCACGATGAGCTATCCGCAAAGAGTGCAAATAAGCCACCCCACCTAACATCTGCAAGGCATAACTCTTAAACTCCCCCCAAGCCAACACCCACCGCCGCTTAATCAATCCCAGTAAGTCTTCCGGCAAGTACTCCATAATCACATTCAAAACAACCCCACGATTACTCCGTTCACCATAAGAGTACCATTTTAATTGGACAATCCCCGGATGATTCACCCGCTTCAAAATCATCAATTCCCGGTTCATGTACTCCTTCTTCTCAAAGACTACTTTCCAAGCATAAGACTCTCCATCCCGTAAAACTATATGATAAACCTCCCCAAAAGAACCCTGACCAATTTTCCGCCGAGATACACACTCTATCTCCCTTTCTAAACCATCTACACCCAAAACATTCGCCACTCGAACTATATCCATATCTGATCGCATTAATTGGTAAACACACCCCTATTTATTTTTTAAAATAGCTTCCCCTGCATGACTGAAGATACGTGGGAGACCGTGCAAATACGCACCTTTGTCAACTGGGTAAACGCTAAACTACTTAAAGGTTCCGATCGTTACAAATTGGAAAAACCCGAGACCATCTATAATTTCACGCCTATCTCTAATTTTCCCGCCGATTTCCAAGATGGCACCAGATTACTTGCTCTTATCTATTCTTTAACCGGCTCTATCTTTAATTATAACAAAAAACCAACTTTGATTGTGCAAAAACGTGATAATTTAGAAAAAGTGATTAATTACCTGAAAAGGTGCAATATTGAAATGATTAATATTGGAGCGGCTGATATTCAAGAAGGAAGTATTAAATTAACTTTAGCTTTGCTTTGGCGCCTTATTATTGCTTTCTCTTTACAGGAACTTAAAGAAGAGATAGGAAATGATAAGGATTTAAGAGCCCGAATCATGCACTGGTGTAGGCGGAAGACTGAAAGATACGGTAAAGTTAATATTGCTGATTTTGATAAGAGTTGGCGGGATGGACTTGCTCTATCTGCTCTTGTTCATGCGGATGTAGGTGGATTTACTTATGATGAAGGTACGCCTGAGTATTTAGCTACGCGGGCTCTGAATTTAGCCCAGTCTAGTATGGATGTTCCTCTACTGATTACTGGTCGCGATTTAGTTAGTGGACTTTGTGATGATAAATCACTCTTAACTTACTTACTGGGTTTATATACGGCTTCTAGACAACGGGAAACAATGACTAAACGGGCTAAGGAGCAGAAAGTAGCTGCTCAGATCCAGGAGAATCTGGCGTTCTTAAGTACGCGACAGAAAGCAGTAGCTGAACTACTGGAGAGTGATACAGTGAGTTTAGAAAGGGTTAAGAAGGAGTTGGATGTGATTTATGCCCAAGTACGTAGTTGTGAAGAGGAAAGAATGAGATTAAGTTTAGGATATCTTATTCAAACGGATATTTATCAAAGACTAAGTAGTCCTTATACTCCTTACTCTTCTGACCAAGTATTTAGTACCTTATCTATTCTATCTAATAGTTTATCTACTATTAAAACTACTGGTATATTTGATGCGGCTGCTTTACTGGATACATTAGGTCGGTGGCAATTTAAGGAGGGTAAACAAGTAGTGGGTAAGTATCAGGAAGTCTTGCATAAGTGTGGGCAAAAACTAAGTCTACTAGTTAAGACAGTGACGTTTTCGGGTGTTGTTTGTTTATTAGCTGAAGTGAGTGAAATGGCTGAGTTAGCTTGTAAGCAGCCGAGTTTAGTAGTTGTCCCGGCGGAGTGCAAGTACGAACTCTTGGAACGAGAAGCTATTATTAAGGATGCCCTAGGAGTAGTAGCTAGTGAAGTTAAGGAGGGTGAGAAACGGTTTATGGACGTCTTTGCGGCTGAATTAGCTAGGGAGAAGGAGCTTAACCAGCAATTCTCAGCGGCGGAAACGGTTACTTTAGCTGTAAGTCAAAGTATTCCTGAACCATCAGCTATGGACTTAAGTCTGTTTGAAACCAAAGCCAGGTACGAGTATTTAGTAGCTCAAGCCTTGCTGCAGGAGAAGGAGGAGCCATCAAGTTTACTTTCCTCTATTTCCTTAAGCGGTAAAGAATAAAAGCTAGCTGGTTTACTTGTGTTTGATTTAGTATTGCGTTGGGTTAGTATTAGATTGGGGTGGTATTGATTTAGTATTGTATTGGTTTGGGGTTAGTTTAGTTGAGATTAGTATTAGGTCTAGTATAGTTTAGTATTATGTTGAGTATTAGCTTTATTATAGTATTGATTTAGTATTGTATTAGGTCTAGTATGGTTGAGTATTAGCTTTATTATAGTACTGATTTAGTATTATAGCTTTATTATAGTACTGATTTAGTATTAAAATAAGCTATAAGTTTAGATGACGTCATAAATTATCAGTATTAAAATAAGCTATAAGTTATCATTATAACCTAATAGTATTCTTTTGAACTTAATCTAACTTAACTTAATCTAACTCAGCTTAATCTAACTTAACTAATACCAACTCAATCCAAGTTGAGGGTTATTAGTGTGAATAATAGCATGAAATCCAAAAGTATCTACTAAGTTGGTATATAGTTTGCCTGGAATAGTTAGCGGGTTTAAGCTTCATAAACCTTCCCTATCTTATCTTTATTACTCTTGAGTTTGGACTAACTCAACCCACCCCAATCCTAAACCAACTCAACCCATCTCA